CGCCCGTCTTCTGTGAGGCCGTGGTATCACTCCGGTCGAGCCGACCCATTCGTGCCGAAGCATGGCTCTCCCACACTTAATATATAGTATAATAGGGTTTGCCCAGTAACTCCAGATCTCCTCTAGGTATTAGCACGCTTTTATATATCCCAAATAACTATTGCCGAGGTAAAAATAACAGGGTGTTTGCTGTGTCCCAATGTCGAACTGTCGCACGTGCTTAGTCACCGACCGATTCCTCGCACTCTAGTCTCGCTTAACGATCTCCTGAAATCCAATCCAATCCTGATTGATTTGTTTGCAGATGCATGGAAGGGAATTTTATTGGAGTGCATGAGGTTCTGCGAGAGGAACTTATGAATGTATCTACTTACTTATTTTTTTTTTGTTTTTGTTGTTAAATGTAATTGGATATAATCCGTTTTAACATAACATAAATAAATATCACTTTGTCATACTCCATAAGTCCATACTTAACTTTGTCAAAAATACCTTAAGTGTGGGAGAACCATGCTTCGGCACGAATGGGTCGGCTCGACCGGAGTAATACCACGGCCTCACAGAAAACCGGCGTGAAATAACCACAGCGTTGTGTTTCGCCGTGTGAGTGAGGTTACCGGAGGCCCAATCCTTCCCCTTCACTACCTTGTTTGTTTTTTTTCCGTCCCAATCCCTAAATATCCAAATCCCTAATCCCTAAGAGGTCGGCAACGCACCCGTAACTCCTCCGTCCATGGGCGGCGCTGATTGCTTACCACCAGGTAATCCGTCTGCTCGTTTGCTGACTTATTACATAAAAAAAAAACACATTTTCTTAGTTATTTTCGCTTTACTTTATGATCTTCATAATATGTCCCTTCAGAAATGATACACTTACCTCGATTACAGCTTCATACATTCTTCAGTCAGTTGACGGCCAAGGAAATGCATAAACATTACATATAAGAAATAAAACCAAAAACTGTTGTAGGTACTTAAAACCTTTTTTTTTAATTCAATTAACAAAATAAATTATAATTATTATGTAACCTGTACAACGTTGGCTGCTTACAAGCCAGCTATGGAGGAACGAATACTTACAATATAAGATCACTTACTTACTTATAAACTAAAATATAAGTAATATGTGTCTATGTTATGTTGATTCAGAGAGGTTACCAAAGAGTCCTTTCCTGGTCCGGGCACAGGTTTTTAGTCATCAACACCCGGTTTCCGAAAGGCCCATCAATGTTAAATTCAATTTAATCTCTTGTCAAGTCATCTGATTGGTTGACTGAATTATCAACAACCAATCAGATGACTTGACAAGAGATTTGACACCTAGTCAGTTGATTTTAACATTTATCGGGCTTTCGGAAATCGGGTGTAAGTCTTTTTTGAGGGTGGAAAATCATCAAATGACTTCTCTCGCACAGGGTGAGGCGAGAGGGAGTGTCAGACTCTTACTGACTAAACACCACCCCGTCCCTTATCCTGCTCCAAACCCAGGCCACGGTATTTTATTGCGCTTGCCCCACAACCCCGGCAAGAGACTGTCACTCCCTCAAGCCTTATCCAGGGTGGGAGAAGTCATTCGATGATTTTTCTCCCCTAAAAATAAAATAATCCTTCCCTTCCATTCCTAATCGTTCGATCTTTCCAAAAGGAGAAGATCCCTAATCCCAAAAGATCGGCAACGCATTTGTAACTCTTGGATTTTAGGAGTAACCACGGGCGGCATCGATTTCTGAAATCAGGTGACAATTACACGGAATAATTGTTTGCCGACCTATACCTACTATAAAATAAAACAATTCTGAACACACCAAAAACCTAACATGGAAGAAGTTACTGTAACTATTAGAAAATTATTATACTCGGAATTTTAATTCCATTCCAGATTTGACAATTTCAGTGTTGCAACGTTATGACACGTAATAAATAGTGACGTTGCGAAATTATTCGATATGGAAATCGAATATTTCTGAATCGATTCCTCGCGTTTATAAATTTACTCTCGTAAGCTAAGTTTATCAGGAAATAAAATATTTCTGAACCGATAATTTAGTTTTGACAATTAATTAACGATCTGAGACTTTTTTTTTTGTAATTTTATGTGAAATTAATAAAAAATGCGATCATGAAGGAACGTGACAAATAAAACAGACATTTTATAAATTGTCGCCCGCGTCATCGCTATCGCTATCGCCGTTACTCTATGTAACATTTATTATGAAAGTGTCTGTGATATTTATTTTCAATTAACGTATCTAGCTTACTAATTTTTTCCTCCTCTTTGAAAACATGGGATACACATTTAGACCATTCGGTAGCCGTAATTTTTTGAATGCCTTCCTGAAACTGATTTACTGATTGTTTATTGATTTTTGTGTTCATCACTACACTGTTATATGTGGTATCATTATTTCACAAAATGACAGTGGTCAATGTCAAATCAGGAATCGAATTAAAAGTCTGACTATAGGTAAAACATTACACAAGGATAGGTCTAAGTATATTACTCACATTTTGTTTCATATTTTTACAATACGGCGGCCCTACCCTACCTGCCCACCCTTTTTGCACGGGTGTTTAACTACATCGGGAAAAAGACGAAAACGCCTGTATTTCCCAAAATTCCCTATACTTTTTTTTTAATATTTCCTTCCACAAGAACCTTGCCCTGATAATAATGAACAAATAAAAATAATTAGCAAAATTGGTTTAGCTGTTTTCGAGATTGGCATTTACCAACACATTTAACAATTTATCTTTATACATTGTAAAATAATATAGGTACACTATTTCCAGGTTGTATTTCGCCTTACCCTTTTGAGTAAGACTTTAATTTTATTAACCCTAGCAACAACAAACATTACCAAATAAAAAAATATTTTAAGGAGGTCCAAACAAAAATTTTTTTTCCGAACAATTTTATTGCCAATTATATTCCTATTTATGCTCAAATTTTGACAACAGTAACAAGTTAATTGTTAAAATATCCACATAATATTTAATTTTTACTTACATATTTACAATTAAATTAGAATTATATACAATATACAAACTTATATGTACTTACATAAAAATATGAAACAAGGATTTATTGAATAACAATAATACGGTAGTTTCCAACTAGTCAAATTCAATACTTTTATTGAAATGTCAATAACTATACTTTCCTATGAACCTTGTATGAGATCGCAACATATGGAAGAAGAATGAAAGAAAAAGTATTTATTCGCGTCTAGGACGCACATAAGACAAAAAACAAACAAGTCTGTAAAAAAAAACAAAAAAAAAACATGGTAATATATTGTATTACCATGTTTTTTTGGTAAAAACCAAAGAGAAATAAATTAATTATAACAAATTTAAATAAAGAGAACTTAATATAAGGAAAAATATGCGTTACAAGCACGCGAAATGGCCCTCGCTCGGCATATGCAGCGACACTATGCGAGACAGTGTCGCAGCGCTGATTTGCAGCGATGGCCGACAACTAACATTTGACGCCAATCGGTGAATAAACTTAAAATTACTAATAAATATTTAAGTATATTGTATATTTGCTTGACGTTCAAAAGTGTCTACTGTGTTCAAATTGAAATAATGATTTTGACTTTGACTTTGACATAAAATAAGACGTAATATCATATGACGCCATAATGATTTTACGTCAAGTAAAATATTTATTTCAGTACACATTTTTTTCCAATAAATTAGATTACTTTCTTTTATGGAATAGGAGGCACACGATCTGACGAATTACCTGATGGTTAGTGATCGGCTAGCTATTATCAAAAACAGAGAGCCTACCATGACGTGTTAAAGAGTGAATCTTCCGGGGGAGAAAGAGGGAGGACACCTTTTATAGCTATTATACCAGAACCAGACCCGAGCGTACTGCGCGTAGCGTTCCGCGCGCGCCTCAAAGAGCCAATAGACCACCACAGACGGGGCCCTATAGGGCTGATGTTCAGCCGGGGTTGCGGGGCAAGCGCAATGAGGCACCGCGGCCTCGGCCTAGAGCATGAGAAGGAAAGGGGGGTTTTTTAGTCAGTAAGAGCCTGACACTCTCTCTCGCCTTACCCTGGGCGGAGGAAGTCATTTGATAATTTTCCCCTGACAAAAAAAGGCATACAGCGTCGTTGTGAAATACGGCAGTCCAACGACATAATTATACATATAAAAATGGTAGAACAATATGATTTTATAATAAAAAACAAATATTTAAAATCCAATCACAGTTTTGTTAAAAATAACAACAAAAAATTGTCATAACTTAAGTAGATACATCATTCATTTTAATTTAAACAAATTTTGCAAACATATTTCAATAATTTTGAGGACTAAAATTGTTTTTTTTTTTTAAATATTATTATTATTATATTTACAAATCAGACAAGTTATTTAGTATGCTGGTAAGAAAATAAAGTTAGATTTAGTAGAGACAGTGACTACAGTTAAAAGTAATCGAAAAAAACCACCAAAATTTATTAGTCGACTTCTCCGTGTGAGAAGAGGTCTTTGAACAGAAGTGCGCGCTTATAGGCTGATGATGATGAACCAACCAATGGTTACTAATCAATATTTATTTCCTTACTAGCCATACTATGTTATGTCAATTACTAATTACATATATAATAATTATTATCTCGTAATTTATTATTGCAATTATGAGAGCTAACGTTTTTATGTTCAAAGTAGATGGCACTAGTGTAGTTTAAAGTCCTGTTTGTCTATTATGTCTACCAATCCCTAAATCCCCAAAACCCTAACCCTAAAAAGGTAGGCTACGCACTCTTATCTCCTCTGTTGTTGCTGGTGTTCATGGGCGGCGCTGATTGCTCACAATCAGGTAATCCTTCTGATGCATAAAAAATAGAATATTTCCATTTTTTATAATAACTATCGTGAGACATACTAAATTAACTAAAAATCGCGGGTTACTCACGTGTATATATTGAGAAAAGCTCTACTAGTTTCGAACCACAGAGGGGTTCACCATCAGTAGGCTGCGCGACGTCGCCGCGTCCGCGCACGCTGCTCATGAGGAAGAACCCCTCTGTGGTTCGAAACTAGTAGAGCTTTTCTCAATATATACACGTGAGTAACCTGCGATTTTTAGTTAATTTGCATTTTTTTTACAATCAAACATTTACAACAGCGCCATCTTCTGAGTAAGAAAACGTTGCTCTCGTTAAGGTAAAGTTTAAAACCTAACCTAGCTAAGGGCTAATAGCATCGGTTTTGGTACTTTCATATTCAGCTAAAGTGATCCCATGATTGGATAGCATATGGCTTTTCAAACTACACTTTTGGACAAAGGCTAGAGCGCAAATACCACATTTGAACCTCCTATCGTTATTATGAATCCTCATATGTTCTCTCAAAGTCTTTTTCCTTGCATAAGCTTTAGTACAAACCGTACATTTGAACACTCTCTCACCATTATGCTTGATCATATGTTCATCGAGTGATTGCTTGATAAAAAAACCTTGACCGCACTCCGGACAAATATGATTTCGCTCCATTAAATGCACTTTCTTGATATGAGAGGTCAGTTTTGATTTTAGAATGAAGGATTTCTCACATATATTGCATTTATATGTTGCTGCAGCTATATTATGTTCGTCTGCCATATGTCTGTTTCTTCTATAGTAACTAGTGAACTGCTCATCGCAATGCGGACAATTAGTTGTGTATCTAGCGGTGGCATTATGCGTATATTTCTCGTGGCACAACTTCCTAACTTTCGTGCTAAAAATTTTATCACAAAAACTGCAGTTGAAATTGCCTATCTCGTGTGTGCGCTGGTGGTTTCTCAGTTTATGCTTGTTTATGAATCCTAAGTCGCATATTTCACATATATAATTCCTGTAATGTCCATTCATGTGTTGCAGTAACATTTTAAACGTTTCATAAGTCGAATTGCATAACGCACAATTCAAAATATCACTGTCAGAGAGTTTGAATTCTAAAATGTAATCTTTGACTTCTTGATAAAAATGTATTTGGTGTTCGTTGATAAGATGTTTTTTTAGATTGCTTATAGTGTCCATTTCGCTTTGGCAGATGTTGCATTTTAAGTCGGTAATGTCCATTTTGATAGACATGTTATTCTTGTCCATACGTTTTGATTCTATTAGATTGTCTGTTTTATGTTCGTCGTGTATGTGTGTGCGTAGATGTGGCAGATCTCTGTATGTCGTTTTGCAGTAGGCGCAGAGGATACCTGGAAAAAAATTCTAATTTAAAATATAAGAAGTCTAAATTAAATTTAACTTTTTATATATATTTTTTAAAGGGGCCATGATGTGAAGGATACTGGCGTGAAACAACGCTAGCTTTGTGTTTCAACGTGCGAGTTAGGTTACCGGAAACGCAATAACTTAAGAAAATCTATTCATATATTTCAAATGCAAAACTATGTTTGCTAGTCTTTTTTGGACGTATTGTCTTTGGACTAATGTGGGCTACAAATTCCATTAAAACACGAAAGTCAGGTCATACATGTAATATTAATAATAAATTCAATATAGGTACGTTAAAATCATGGGAAAGCCATGCTTCTTAATGTAAAGTTGTTTAAATAAATATAATGTAAGGAATAAAATTAATAATAATATCATTGTTTCGGCTAGGGCCATAGTGCCCATCATACCAGTCTATGGCAACCCACTTATCCTTTGTTTCCATTATCCGCAATAGTCCTACACTAACCGGGGACTGTCCTTGGGTGCTTTTCCATAATGCAGACAGGGATAGTCGCCGGTTTGTCCCATTTCATTTAGATCAAAGTTGTCTAAAGAGCCTCTGCGCAGTTGGCTTCGGCCCTTCGTACGCCTCCCAAATGACTGGGACCCTGTAGTCCCGTGATTGGTAAAGACATAAAATAATAATAATAATATTTTCAACACACTTCCTCATAAAGTGGCTCTAATCCCACGGCAATAAGACACGTAATGACACCTATAATAAAACTGTGACTTTTTCTTTACTATTGTTCACAAGTGAGTAATAGTATTTTTATTAAAATTATTAGTTGAGTTACTCTCACACTAGCGCTAAAATGCTATGAGCGAAAAGTCACAAAAAAATTAAACCTCATTTTTTAGTCTATGGTCGATGCGCGCGCATGAAAAACTGATTATTTTTTTCATGCGCGCGCATCGACCATGAAACATTTTTCACAACTCGTCTCGTTTTCACTTTTGAAGGTTTTTAAAGTATTGTTTTATTCAGGAGTGTGTTGAAAAACGTCGTATGATACACGTGTGTATTGATAATTACCGTCCTCGGCTGCTTAAGACCCTCGCCTGACGACTCGGGCCTCAATGCGCCTCTGCGGTAATCGCCAACTTTACGCACTTATACAATACCGCCGCCGTATCTTGGCGAGTCTGAAGTTAGCCGATTAGCTGCGCAGAACACTTTTGATGATTGATGATTTTGTTCCTAAAAGATCCATTGCGCAGATAAACGGCTAACTTCAGACTGGCTAAGATACGTCGGCCGTACTGTACCATAATGCACTATTAACATACCTGCGATAGTTTTGTTGGCAAACGGAGTGCAGTTAGAATACTTGAGTAGTGTGTCTATGTTGACGCGGTGTTTGGTGCTGTCCGTGACGAGACGAGCGTTGGGCACGTTCATCGGGAGGATTTTCTTCATGACCACTTCTTGTTGGAACGCGCGAAGGGATATCTTCATTGCACGGGATTTCTTTGTCATTTCTGTCGGTTAAATATATTATTAACTACTTATTATTAAACGGGTATTAACGGGAAAAGTAATTACTTAAATACCATTTTTTGTTTGGGGTAGGTAAGTCATAAAATGACTTCTCCCGCCCAGGGTAAGGCGAGAGACTGTCAGACTCACTGACTTAAAATCGCCCCCGTTCCTTCTCCTGCACGGGCCGAGGTCTAGGTGCCTCATTGCGCTTACCCCGCAACTCCGGCTGAACATCAGCCCTTTAGGGCCCCGTCTGTGGTGGTCTATTGGCTCTTTGAGGCGCGCGCGGAACGCTACGCCAAGGGCGGATCCACCAATGTGGGCACGATGGGCATGCCCACAACCTTAATACACTTGTGATTGAAATAGGTTTGGATCGAAACTGACTATAAGAAATTAGAAGAAATCGTGTCCGACTTCTTCCTAGGTTTATTTACATTCCTAAGGCCAAAGTCCTGATGCTCAGAAAAAAGGAAATCTAATTCATACGTGCATAAACGATTTGCATGATTGTTAATGAGCATGTCCATGCTCCGACTCGTACTTAGCCGATTTTCTAGTAGCTGTGACCACAACCTTTTTTGAAGGCTAGAACCGCGCTTGCGCTACGCGCCGTACGCTCGGGTCTGGTTCTGGTCGGACGGCGAGCTACCCTTACTAGCTGGCCACAGACCATTTAAATAACTTGGAAGCTCAAGATACCAACAATAAAAAAGGCTTTACTAACCGTCTCTAGAGCTATCGAGAAGCAATCTCTTTTTACTCCTTCTCTTCTCAGATCTCTTCTTAATAGCAACATCTTTGAAGCCAAGCATCTCAACCAACTTCTTATTGTCATCTCCATTCTTGAAGTCATCGAAATCATCAGACATTTCTTCTTTTAATTCTGTAAAACAAAATATCAGGAATATGGTCAGAGTTCACACTTGTCCTATTGTTGGTACGAAGCACAATATTTTTGTTTTATTGCTTCCGTATACGCCACTTAACTTACCGAGTGTATGTACGTGTATTAGGGATGTACTATACGGCCGTTGTATCTTAGCGAGTCTGAAGTTAGCCGATTAGCTGCGCAGTACACAATTTTGTTCCTAAAAGATCCATTGCGCAGACAAACGGCTAACTTCAGACTCGCCAAGATACGGCGGCCGTACTTTAAATATAGATATTTTAACGTATAATATAGTGGTGGTATATCTGTAAAATCTTATTTTATGTTCAATTTTGAGACAGCTACATGTATAACTTTTACAGAGAGTCCTGATGAACGAGGAGCAAATAAGACCTCTATATACCACCTCATAGGGACTATTATAACAATGAAACAATGAATTTATTTTTGCAAATAGGCCATAAAACGGCACTTTTACACGTCAAATTATATGTGAAAAACTAGATGAAGCCGGCATTTCCTATCTGACTACTCTGAGAAGAAATGCCGAAACAAACTCAGAGGTCAGTCTCTTTTCAAGAGTCTCTTTTTTTTATATTACACGAGGTTCACACCGAATAAAAAAAGGATATACCTCATCAGCGGTAACGAAGCCATAGCGCGATCTATCTCGATCCCAATGCCATCTATCGAGCCTTGGAATAACATTTATGCAATTTAAGTTTAACTCGATTCTCAAGGGAACCGTTTGTCTTGGTATGGCCATGTGAAAAGGAGGGATAAAACGCATGTTATAAAAAAGCCATGAGTATTTAGAGGTATGAGGAACAGGGTGGAAAGTTCCTCATCCTCCATTGAAAAGGGAGGATCCTCCGACCAGGCGAGGTGTTCGTGCCTGGTGGGCTACTGCCCGTCGGTTGTTGTCGAGATATCTGTATGGGTGCTAATTGTGTTGAAAACTCTTATAGCGCGATGTAGAATCTTGCTCGTGATTGGTGCTGTTGTTTATGTAGTGCGCTAGATGTCGCTACATCACTCCCCTCCGAGACCGGAGGTCGTTAGCTGGTTGAGACGTCTGTGAAATGCTTGTCGAGCCAGTTGATGGTTTCAGTGCGTCGAATCTGTCTGCGAAGATGCCCAGTGAGTCGGGTGGTGCAGTGCTGAAGAGTGGCTAGCTGCTGCGTCGACCAGGAGAGGGAGTAAGTCTCTGCTTTGCTGACCGGCCGGTGCAGTACGCTGTGCCGAAGATTCTGATGAGGCTGTAGGTGCTGAAGAGTGGCTAGCTGCTGCGTCGACCAGGAGAGGGAGTACGTCTCTGCTTGCTGACCGGCCGAAGTGCAGTGTGCTGTGCCGAAGTTGCTGATGAGGCTGTAGGTGCTGACCAGGAATGCGCGTCGGCTGCATGCTGGTGGTCAGGGAACCCGTTGTAGCCGTGGAAGCTGGCTGACTGTAGACTCGCTGCTTGAAAGCTCGAGGAAGTGATGACATCTTGATGGCTATGACGTAGTTGCACGAAGGCTGCGTTGATGTTCATGTTCGGGGTCACCAGTTTAGAGGTATGAGGAACAGGGTGGAAAGTTCCTCATCCTCCATTGAAAAGGGAGGATCCTCCGACCAGGCGAGGTGTTCGTGCCTGGTGGGCTACTGCCCGACGATTGTTGTCGGGATATCTGTATGGGTGCTAATTGTGTTGAAAACTCTTATAGCGCGATGTAGAATCTTGCTCGTGATTGGTGCTGTTGTTTATGTAGTGCGCTAGATGTCGCTACAAGTATAAATGTGGATGGATTGAGAGGGAGACCAAAGAAAATATGGATGGATTGTGTGAGAAATGATATGGTAGACAGAGGAGTCAGTAATAGCGTGACGGGTGACAGGACAGAATGGAAGAAAAAACATATTGCGCCGACCCAAAATAAAACGGGACAACGGCAGGAAGATGATGACTCGATTCTCAACTCTATTGATCACGCTATGGCTTCGAGTACATCCCCAAACATTCATAATAGCATAACTTAAAACCTTAGTGGTTTTTGGTTGCTAATTTAAGTTGATAATCCTGTATTATTTACTGTAAATATGATAAAAAAATTAATAAATGCTTACCTAGAAAATATATGCCATTCTCATCGTCCAAATCTAGTAATTCCTCTTTCACCTTTGGGCTTGATTCATCTGAAACGAGAATAAAATAATTATATTAATTCGTTCTAAAGTCAGACTCAGAAAAATATTTATTTGTGTAACTTTGTGTGTAACATTGACTAATAGGTAAAGAAAGTGTCCTTCGGTGTGGGAGAGCCAAGCTTCGGCACGAATGGGTCGGCTCGACCGGAGTGATACTACGGCCTCACAGAAGACCGGTGTGAAAAAACCACAGCGTTGTGTTTCGCCGTGTGAGTGAGGTTACCGAAGGCCCAATCCTTCCCCGCCCCCAATCCCTCCTCAATCCCTAAAAGGTCGGCAACGTTGCGGATGTCCATGGGTGGCGCTGATTGCTTACCATCAGGTAATCCGTATGCTCGTTTGCCGATCAATTACATAAAAAAAATCTCTGGGTTATTATCATTTATATTATCGTGCCTGGTGGTAAGCTATGGTGCGGCCTACGATGGAGCACGCCTACCTATAGGCTAATCATTACTTTTTCTAAGGATTTTCTCTCGTTAACTGTTCTGATGAAGAAACGGAAAGAAAGCTAAGTTCATCCGTGTGGGTGGGATATCAGATGCCAAGGCATTCTCGAATAAATTGGATGTGTAGAGTTTATTCCAAAATCTCTTATGAAGAAGAAACTCTTAGCAGCAGTGCAGAAGGAAACTGATAAGTGAACTTTATGAGCTAATTTTGTATAGAGACATATTAAATTTATTGGAAACTAGCTTCTACCGCGCTGTTTCACTCGCTGCTCGGCTCCTACAAGTCGAAGCGAGATTTTTTTTATAGCCTTCCTCGATAAATTGACTAACAAACACAAAAAGAACTATTCAATTCAAACCAATAGTTCTGAAGATTAGCGCGTTCAAACAAATGGACTAACAAACGCAAAAAAAATATTCATATCGAACCAAAACAAACAAATAAACTTTCCAGCTTTATAGATAATAACCATATTATGATTCGTGAATCAACTGACAAAAGCTCTGAAAAGAGACGTCACGCAGCCGACGCACTTACTCATAAATAAGAGTCCCATTATGACTTGAAACTAGTCAAGCTTTTCTCAAAAGATTAACGTAAGTCGTTATCTTCTATAAAATTAAGTATATTATTTTATTTTATTTATTGAGGGATAATAAACAACTACAACATAAATAACACAATATGGTTTACAGCACTTAAGATAGTAATGTTGCAGTCCACTGCATTATCCACAGATAAAACATATTTAATGATCAGTGGTTGCTACTAGACAAGCATCACCAAAATTAACAAATAAATAAGTTACAATAACGAAAACAAATCTCATGAAAGACAATTTCAATTACTTAAATTATACAACAAAATTCATAACATAAAATTACTATTTAGCTAAGATATTCATTATATGAGATTTAAAAAAGTTATTATGTTTTCGGCTCACTCAGCGCGACAGTCGCCGCGTCGCGTGTCGCGGAATGCTGCTCATAAATATGGGCCTCTAGCATGGCTTGAAACTAGTCGAGTATCTCGTCAAACAATTAGGTACGTGAGTAAGCCGAAAACATAATAATTAATTTAGTATATCTCACGAAAGTTATTATAAGAAATTAAGGATTGTTGTTATCGATTTTTTTTAAGATGGGCATCCTATAAACTACCACTATCATTTTCTCTTATGTCGTGTGTGCATTTACAAGCATACAATTTTACATACACATAACAGCCAGACCCGAAACAACAATTTGAGGATCATACAAAGAGTTGTTCTGCAGAAATCGAACCCGAGACGCGGCGCGCGGCGGCTATCCGCCCAGCCACCACACAAACCATGCAGACAATTCATGTGTGTATTGTAAAGTTTTAATTACTGAAGCCAGAAAGTCAGGAGTAAAAAACAAAACTACACTGTGCACATACCTTTAACAGTAAAAGCATTGAATTTTTCCAGGAATTCCCTCTGGCATTCTTGAACTTGCAATTTGAAGTCACTGGCATCGCGAAGCCTTGTGATGCAAACCTCACAAATGCCACAATCATCATCCTCCGGACTGAGAGGTATCTGAAAATATTGAATAATGGTTCTTTGTAATTGATTGCACAGATGACTTATTTTCAGCCATATATGGCAGGATATGCTGAAAAAATGAACTGTAGCACCTTTTGTGCTATTAAAAAATTAAGTTTTTTTTTATTGACTGATGGGTGGACACAACTTTTTGTGTGTGATTCACAGTTTGTTGTTTCATGTCTGAGTGTGATGTATGTAAATGTAGCCAAACCAAACAGGAAAAGATACTAGTATGGATAAATGTTTTTTTTTTCTTTCTTGAATGGCAACTGAGTCTCCAATTTAATGTTGTTGACTATACTGCCAGTCAAGTAGAGACGGGAGGTTATGGGCCCGTCGAACTTTAACTTTGTGGTAGAGTAAATGTTAAAATACCCTAGCAAGAAAACAGATGTACATTTATTTATAAAAAAAAAACATGCTACAAAAAAAATCTTCATATAAAAAACTAATCCTCCTCTTCCTCTTAGTTTTCCTATGGAAGGACTGTAGAAGAGATAAGAAATAGAATTATTTTTGTATTCTAATTTTTTTTACTTTCTGGTGGTTTAGCAAATGTGCCTATTTTGCCAAATATTACTCATATATTTACAACATAGCAACATTATATTTTTTAATGACACTTTATGATTAAAAACAAAAGTTTTATGATCACTTAATACATTATAATCAACTTCTTGTCCATAATGACTTCTGTTTGTCTTTTTAGGTGATTATGTTCCATATTTTTCTAAATTACTTTAATCTAACTATGCTATTTTACTGGATATCAGAAAAGTATACTAGTAACTTCTAAAAACAATTAAATTTGCATTATAAAAACAATTTGCCTCCATAATTCAGGTCATCACTACTGATAAAAATAACAATACACTAGTATACTTATAAAAAAAGAAGTTCTTAGAAAAATGGGCAAAGATCGACAGGAACTTGTATGTAATAAACTTCCCTACTGTAAAGAGTTTTGGTACATTGTATTTTTACCTGAATTTCGAAGCATTCCTTTAACATATCAGCGTAAATTTCCGACTTGCCCAATATAGTATATTGGGTTTTTAAATCCTTATCGGGAGTCCGCACAAGGCAGCAGCGGCAAACTATGCCGTAGGACATGGCTATAATTTCACTTTCCACGTTTTCTGCACAATAATAGTCCTATATTTTCCACAAAAAATCTATTTAGAAAAAGTACGAACCCAAAGCTATTATTTTTTGATGACAGTAATTGAGTACGATCACAATACAATTTATTTTACATTTCGAAGCATTACTCCTTGCGTTGTCTCTCTCTATCATTTTAAAGATATATCTGTCTTGTATGTTGATCTCTTTCTAATGCAGAAATGTAGTACATCTTCAATATGATGTCGTATCTGGAACTCACCATTGCTAATCTAATGACAGATAGCTGTCACTGTTTCGATAAACGGAATGGTTTTTGATATCAAACTGTGTTTGAAATATTTTAATTATACTATTATTGTTTAACCAAATTCTGAAATTTCGATTTAATAGTTAAGTATTTTAAAATGCTTATTCTAAAAAACTTAATAGTAAAGCAGTGGTGGACCATATTATAAAAGTAAAAAAAAAAGTTCTACTTTGGCTGTCTAACAACTGTTACCTTTGCCTGCACCAATTTTTGAGCAAAATGAAACAACGAAAAAAAAAGTTTCAGAAAATGGCGGAGCTTCGAAGTTGTAGCGTCCTATGACTTTTTCAATTAGATTTAAGATTTTTATGTGCAAGTGATATAAAAGTGTGATTAAACATGATGGAGACTTCAGGACACAACAATATGTGTCGGTGTTGTGCGTCTGAAGGTGCGTTTAAAGACATTAAAAGCACATATCATTGGATGGGAGAAGAGGAGATTTACGCCGACATGTTGAAGGAATGTTTCGACATAAGCGTAAGTATTTATCCTGTAAAAACAATAATATTATCGAAAAACCACCTTAAAATAGTCAAAGCTTCCATAGTTATTTATTTATGGCAACAGTAAATTTCACAAGTGGTGCCTAACTCTATTTTTTCTTATTCGTTTTCGATCGGCTGTTAGATAAACCTGTACCTATGAGATTTAAACAGCGAATTCGATTACTTACTCAAGCGTGTCTTGTTAATTTTCCGCTTACTATGGTTCTATAACTTTAACGGTTAATAAAACAATAATTTTACTTAGTAAACAAATTTTAATCAATAAATAAAAAGTATTATTTTGCCCTATGTCTAAACCGGTTGCCCTTCCGTGCCCTATTGATTTTTTATAACAGTCTGACTATAGAGATCGCTCGTGGACTCAATCAGTTTTTGTTTACATGTTCTCTGTTTACATTATATATAACAAAAAAAAAAAATAAGCAAACTAAAACTGCAAAATCTTATGCAAAAATGTCAATAACATAACATGTATTATGTTATTGTATGAGATTTTGTGTTTGTAAACATGCATTTGCAAAGTTGCATTATTATGTCTTACAAGAAAAATGTTAACATTTTGATGAATAAACTGGATAATAGCTGCCTCAAGTTAATATTTATAACTTTTTGTAAGTACAAGTTGTCAAGCATGATGAGTTAGGCAAGTACTTGTTATTAATTTAATTTCATTGTTCACTTGTGTCAAGATCAATATGAATTGTTAGCAAACTTATCTGAAAGGTGAAGGCTACATCTGAACACAATAAATCCATCCCTAAGGCTACCTACTGACCTAAATAGCACTTTTCTGGGAGTTACATTTTGCTTAAGTAATGTTTGAAAAAGAAGCACAGGCCATCTTATTATAGAGCCACTTAGGCTGTATAATAAGATTTCCTGTGCTTCTTTTTCGTTATAAACTTAACTAGTGTACACTAGTTGATAGTTCATGTTGTTATTTTCTGTAAATGTTTATAAGAATAACAACTTGCACTTATGTTATTTTTTAATAAAAAAAAATGCTTATTAGTATGATTTATGTATTTATTTATTATAATAAGGCAGGCTCACAGCTTATGTATGCATAGTAGTTAGAAGTATTGGTTTTAAGCAGTAGGTCTTATATATTAGCCAGTTACAAGCTAACCAATATTCTTAAAATTATGTGTTTGTACAGACAAAATAAATAGAAATTACTAGCTACACCCCCATGGTTTCACTCGCTGCTAGGCTCCATTTCATTGTAACATGATGTTTTATAGCCTAAAGCACTCTGGAACACTGTAGAATTTCGGGTATCCGACCGTTGGTTCCAAAGATTACCCCCTACATACAAACTTACAAACATACAAAATTATACCTCTTTATAATATTAGTATAGATAACATGATTGTTATTTGCATTTAAAAGTCCAATTCATTATTATTGAGCGTTAGCAAAGTTACTATAATTTTGCTACCACTAGGATACAAATAGGAACAGAACGTAGAATAGGACAGTAAAGAGTTGTAAATGAGAAAGAAGAGTTGATGACCTTGATGGTTTGTTTACAAACATTCTACTTTGTGTCAAATCCTTTATGAACCGTAAGATATTTGCTAAAGTAACTTGTTTATTAATTGTTCATGAACCACTCTACAGTCCATAACTGTCCAACAAAATACTGCAAAATGTTGATCAGTTGAAAATTAAGGGAATATTTAGAAAAACTGAGTCACATTATTTACATTTTGAGTTATTCAATCTTAAAATAGGTGTCTTTGTTATTCAAAACTGAACTGAAAGTATTGAAATCTCAAATGACTTGACGCAGCCTTGGCAGCATTACTTACTGACTAAAAGCCACCCTTTTCTTTCTTTTGCTCCTGGCTGGGGGCACATTATTGCACCTGATCCTCAACCCCAGGTGTTGGCAAAGGCATTGGAGATCTCATTTTATGATATGATATAATGCTTAAATGAAGCTAATTGCTCACTCCAGATTGCTGATTATTGTGAAAAATGTTTAAAAAAATCCATAATTCCAAAGTCTAAATAATTTATTGCAACTAAACCATAAATAGGTACTTTTGAAATTTCAATAAAGAATAGTCTCAGTATGTTTGTCAATGAAGCTACATGCTCGTTGCGAATTGTAGGTTCGAATGGAGAAGAATTAGCAAGAAACTCCATAGCTGACTACTGAATATTTTGATGAAAAATTTGTGACACTTCTGATCAGCTGATGGTGAGCAATCTGCCACCTTTAAGCAGCAGTTACCTACAAGTCTGTTGTAAGTTGTTAGGGGAATTAGGAGGGATGAAAAGGATTGGGCGTTCAGTAAGTTCAATCACACAGCGAAACAAAATGAAAGTATATTCAGTGGTTCTCCGGTTCAGATGACGCATTCAACGGGCACGTTATTATAGCAGCGGTAAGACCCCTCTTTGAGGAGTGGCTTGAGAGACGTCACGGCGTCCTGGCCTTCCGCCTGACGCTGGCGCTTACCGGGCACGGCAGCTTCGGTAGTTTCCTATTTCGGATCCAGCGGGAGAAAACGCCCAAGTGTCGTCATTGTGAGGACCACCTAGAGGAAAGTTGGAGCATATGGTGGCGGTGTGCCCTGCTTGGGCTGAGCACTGCCGTATCATCAGGGAAGTGATCGGCGGTGGCGACATCTCGCGCCCGGACAGTCTGACACTCCCTCCCGCCCACTAAATGACAGCCATTTGATAATTTTCGACGCACAAAAAAAGCTGACGCATTCAAGCTGAAGCATGGCTCTCTCACGCTTTAAGGAACGATATAATTATGTAATTCTATTATTTGTTTACAGCTAAACGTATCAGAACACGGAGAAGATGGCGGTATATGCGAGGTCTGCATCACACAGCTACGCAACGCTATCAACTTCAAGAAGCAAGTACAACACACAGAAGAACAGTTTAAGAAACATTTACAGAATAAGGCAATGTTTAGACGTGAGTTCTTATTTCAAATATCTATTTTTTTATGGAGCGTTGATCTCCGGCCTCCGTCAGCGCGGGTCTGCGGATGGCTAGTAAGGATAGCTCGCCGCCTGACCAGAACCAGACCGCGGCGCGTAACGTTCCGCGCGCGCCTTAAAGACCACCACAGACGGGGCCTTATAGGGCTGATGTTCAGCCGGGGTTGCTGGTTAAGCGTAATGAGTCACCCCGGCTTTGACCCAGAGCAGGAGAAGGGACGGGGGCTTTAGTCAGGCTGGAGAAATCAGTGGAAGATTTTAACCTGAAAAAAAAACTTTTTAACTAAAACATCATCAAATCTATACTAGGTATTACCTACACGCCTTTATACCCACTGCTCAGCTCCTTAGAAGGGTTAGTGAGATGTTTTTTTTAACTATCATTGACGGACGGACTGTCCGCCACTAAAAAACATTTTTAGTACCACCCACCCACATCTAGTAGTCCCTAAAATAAACGCGTTAAACAAAAACAATTTCTGACGACTTTTGGTGTGCCTATGTATTTTTTTTAAATAAGTTATATTTAAAAGGAATAGTTTAGTTGCTTATGTAAGTGATTGACGGGTGTACACGACTATTTTCAAGTTACAACTGGGGCCTATATTCATCTCGATAATTGATAATTGACGTGGTTTTGCATCTCACAGTCAATTAAGTCACAAGCTCATAGCTTCTACATATAAGTATATGATTAAATTATTGATAATAACGTCAATCAAACATGTTGATTCTTTGCTCACGCAAAAGCGCGAAGGAATATAGCTTAAAACGGCTTTAACTAGTGACATGTAATGAAAACTTGAAATATTTGAAAGCAAAGGTTAATTAATTAAAAAGTATGTTAGAACCGTGCTTCGGCACGAATGGGCCGATTCGACCGGCGTGATACCACGGCCTCACAGAAAACCGACGTGAAAAACGCTTGCATTGTGTTATGCCAAAGTCAAAGTCAAAGCATCTTTATTTGCCGCCGTGTCTTGAGATTAGCCGAAGCTTAATAATAATTTGCCAAAAATCTGCCAACGCGCTTGCAACTCCTCTGGCGTTAATTGCTTACCGTCAGGCGAAGCACGGGTCTTCGGAAGGCGAGTAACGGCAGCTCGTCACCCGACCTGAACTAGACCCGAGCGTACGGCGCGTTCCGCACGTGCACCAAAGAGCCAATAGAGGCCTATAGGGCTAATATTTAACCAGGGTTGCGGGGTAAGCGCAATGAGGCACCGCGGCTTCGGCCTAAGTCAGAAGAACAATTTGATGATATTCCCCTCCCAACCAAAACGATGAGGTGCTTCTTCTGCTCATTCGCCACGCTCACTTCTTCTTCCCATAAGAAGAAAACAAAATGACTTACGATAACATGTGTTTTTATTTGTGCAGCTCATATAGTGAAGGTGGAGGTCGTCGCAGGCGATGAAGATTCAGACGGTGATAATATTGGGTCCGGGGATGATACCTTCTCCGGTGCTGGTGAGTTTATACTGTATATATCCTTCACTGACTACTATTCAGTTTAAGTATGGGAGAGCCATGCTTCGGTACAAATGGGGTGATACATGAGCTTCACAGAAAACCGCCTTGAAATAACTGCAGCATTGTGTTTCGCCGTGTGAGTGAAGTCACCGGATGTCCGATCCTTCCCCTTTTCTATCCTTCTCCAATCCCCAAAACCCCTTCCTCATGGTAAAGAACAGTGAGTCTATGTTTGCTGTTTAGGACATAAATCACAGATGGTATACTATTAGTGGACTGTATTACTGGTTTTTACAAAGATAGTGCACCCCGACATTAGTTTGCGAGTTAACGTGTATTTCCGTGCTTGGTGAAAAGTGGTCTGATGTGGCGGGTGGCGCGCGCCGCTCGGCCAGCCGGCGCAGGCCGCGGCGTCTTCTGATTGGTCCGTGGCGCGGGCGACCGAAATGTGTAGGCGGTTTGGCGCGGGACGCGCAACGCGCTGTGTGTCATAGACATATGCACTAACTTCCGCCTGAAAAGTTGCATATGTCTAAGTCCACATTATAATGTTTATCTGTTCCCAGTTTCATCCCGACTCGTATACCGTATGCCCGTTTTTGCGTAAAACGCTACTAAACGTTAAAAGTAGTATAGTATACATCCCCAAAAACTATTATTTTTATTTATTATGGTTTATGTCTGTCTACTTATCATCATAACTAGCCTAAAAGAGAATAACAAAGGCCTCTTTTTACTCGTAGAAGGTATACGCATTAATCACCACGCTAACTCGAGGCGGATTGGCGACTACAAACTTTAATTAGAAATTATAAGTCCAGGTTTCCTCACGATGTTTTCCTTCCCCGTTTGTCAGCGGTGTCTCAATAAACTTAAAAAGGACGTTGAACTCGAAAAGTCATAGTAGTACTTGCCAGATTTCGCACCCTCATGCATGAGAAGCAGACGTTTTTAACGTCCAAGATACCATGATAATACTACCAGCTTAGTCATTTTATTGAGCTTAAGCAAGTTTACGTTGTGTTTCGCCGAGTGAGTGATGTTACCGGAGGTGTTTCTTCCCCACTTCTCCCATCTTGAATCCAAAAATCCCGAATAACCCAAAAGAGGCCGGCGACGCATTAGTAGTAGTAGACTCCTTTGGTATTACAAGTGTCCATGAGCGACGCTGATTGCTTACCATCAGGTAATCCGTCTGCTCGTTTGCCGACCTATCCCGAAGTGTAGGAGAGCCAAGCTTCGGCACGAATGGGTCGGCTCGACCGGAGTGATACCACGGCCTCACAGAATACCGGCGTGAAACAACCCACAGCGTTGTGTTTCGCCGTGTGAGTGAGGTTACCGGAGGCCCAATCCCTTCCCTTCCCCTATCCCTTCCCAATCCTTATATCCGCAACCCCTATCCCCAAAAGGCCGGCAACGCACTCGTAATTCCTTTGGTGTTGCGGGTGTCCATGGGCGGCGCCGATTGCTTACCATCAGGTAATGCGTCTGCTCGTTTGCCGATTTATCCCATAAAAAAAAATCACAAAATAAAGTTATTATCATAGCAAAATCTTGATTGGCACTGTCAAAATTTATTCAAAACAGGCTTAAAGTTGTGTACAATAAAACTAATTATACAAACTTATTTCTTATAGAATTCGAAGTACCAATAAAAACGGAAAACGATGATCCCAAACCTAAGAAGCGGTCCAAGGGAATGGCTGCATCGACGCGCTCCAAACAGTCCAAAACGACGACGGACGATGGAGAGACATCAACTAAACGTAAGTTTTTATTTTTAAGCGTTTTCGGTGACTTTGGTTGAATGTGCACACGCATTATGGAGTTTTTTGTTGACCTTACTTAAGTGTAGGAGAGCCATGCTTCAAGTGATATCACGGCCTCAGAGAATACTCACGTGAAACAATACTTAAATTGTGTTTCGCCGTGTGAGTTAGGTTACCGGACCCTATCTCTACCCTAAAATTCCCTAACCGTTATTCCCTAATGACCCTCAAAAGTCAAAGCACTTTTAGTGAGGCTTTTGGTGTTACGATTGTCCTTGGGCAGCGACGATTGCTTACCATCAGGTATCCGACTACTCGTTTGCGACTTCTTTTCTCTCGTAATTTAATGTAGGTTCATCTTAAGTCTTACCTAGTCCTTAAGGAATGGTTTGCGGTATAAAATATCTCTGATTTTGGCGGCTTTACTAAAATATTGAATTAACGTGTTTGTGTCAAGTTTTATTAAATTTGTGACTGCAAGAGGTGTGTTTTGTATAGATTAAATATAATAATTATCCTTCATCTACATCCCTATCCACCATGAAGAACGCTTGGAAAAATTTAGAAATTTATACATACTGGATTGATGGATTTTGAGCTTTAATAAGAATAGACGAAACGAAGTCAGACCTCGTCTTTTTCAAAGTCTAAGTACAAATAATAAACGTTTTAATACTAATGTAATGCCAGTTCAATTCTGGTTACTAAGAAGATGTATAACCTAAACCTTCTGGAAAATTGCAATAAGGTACCTACACTCCTAAAAAAACTAGAGAAGAGAATAAATGAGCAAAAAATAATAGTAAATCATCAAAAAATCTGAATGTTATAAGCTGCCATCGTCACAGAAATAGCTCTTAAATCTGCAAGCTGAAGTTCCAGTCGTCAGGTTACATTGCTCGAAGGATTGACAGGCTACGAGAACCAAAAGAACGCGAGTAGTAATCATGGACCAGAAGACAGCGTGGATATGTCCCTCTCAAGGTGGACCGACGACATCGTCACAGTCGCGGGGAGCCAATGAATGAAGTATGCGGCAATTGGTCATTCGACGTGGATGACTAAGTCTAAGAACTCACGGAGCGATTTTCGCCCGCGTCCGCTGCGGTTGCGGGCCCGCAGCTTCTGTAGAATTCAAATATTTATATAAAAAATTAAAGCACATTTCACGACGCGTTTTACGCCCGCGGTGTACGCGGTTGTATGCGGCGCCCGCTGTACCGGCGGGCAACTAGTAGAATCGCGCGGGCCGCGGTTACCCGCAGCCTCGGCGGGTGGCACCCGCGCGCTTTGCGATCGGTTGGCGAGCCGCGCGCTTTGCGATCCGCGACCGCGGGCCGGCGGGTCTTCTGTGAAGTTAATATAACGCAACGGCTCGTTTCTGGTGTGTGTCCATGGCGGTCTGGACCTCAACTGATCGTTAACCGCCCGTCTTGCAATCTTGCGATTATCGCCCGCCATGTTTGCGGGCGATGATCGCAACCGCGGCGGCTGTGTAACCGCGCAAATAACCGGTCTCGTGAGTTTGGAAATAAAACCGCAGTTCCGCTACCGCGGGGGGCACGGTTCAAAATCGCTCCGTGAGTTCTTAGCCTAAGGAGATTTTGTTCAGCTGTCGTCTGCAGGATGTCTTCCCGCTGATGATAATGATGATTATGATGATGATACTTTGAACCCGAGTTTTATATGAAACTTTGCTTTTATACAGATTGAAGTTTAGACCACATATAACTATGTATTACAAAATTTAATACGTTATTAATAAAAATATTCCAACCAACTCTGTGTTTTGAAACTAGATGGCGTTAGTGGCGTTTTAAGTCATTTTTTTTATAGGGTGTTTTAAAAGATCAATGTGTTCTTAGAGTCCTTTTTCTTTTTTCTTTGCTGGTAATTCTGAAAAACTTACAATACTGATATTGAGGTGATTTTTTATATAATGTTGTTTGCGCATTCGACCAAATGTTTCACATATTTTTATGTGTTTAAATAGCTGTTTATTTATACATGACGATAATGTTACCACAGGTATGTACGCAGATAATAATTCAGGATTTAATTTAGACATTTTATGTAATTCTTTTCTACTTATGTACCCGCTTGCTAATGACAGATTATTTTGTCTAAGCTCAAAAATAAATGAGTCACATCTTAGATAATCTCCAGAAAAAATAAAACGTTTTGAAATGTAAAACTGGCGCTTTTAAGGGACTTTCGTCTAGGATGATCTTTACTAGACAAATGTGACTTTAAACTATTTGAAATATCCAATTCGGTGAAGTGGTTTCTGAGTTACACGCGCACATACATTTCTACAATCAATTTTCGCTCTATCGGGTTTTCTCACATGATATCCCTCTATCTATTATATAACTATTCCTATGCATTTGTCATTTTAAAACAAAGCATTTGAAAAAAAGCACTTTCATGGATGAGCAGCTGGCGCCTTGATGTCCGAGTCATCCCCTCCCCTCCTGAATATAAACATTAGGAGGGGGTGTTCAGACATCAAAAGTCTATCCAACACCAAATTAATTATTCAATTCGAACCATCATTTCTGGAGATTTGCGTGTTTAAACAAACTGAATTAGTTTTATTAATATATTAAAATTGATATTTTGATTGAAAAATGAACAGCTATTTAGACGGCATACTTATCTGTTTTTTTAATATGTATTGTGTAGCGGTATTGTTAAATTGAGAAGGGTTTAATATCGTATCCAAGATTGTATTTATTTAACATTATGTAATACATTCAAAGGCGAACTTAATGCCTAACGCATTCTCTACCAGTCAACTGTATTTAGGCGCCTCAAAGAGCCATTAGGCCTCCACAGATGGAACCCAATAGGGCTCATGTTCGGTAGGGTGTTGCGGGGTAAGCGCAATAAAGTGTAGCGGGTACGGCCGTCGCCTGCAACTTCAGAAGGAATTTGGTGGTGTTTAGTCATTAAGAGTCTGACACTCTCTCTCGCCTTACTCTGGGAGAGAGAAGACACTCCATGATTTGCCCACTTAAAAAAAAATTGTATTTAGGTTTTGTTGTTCGATTCTCACTACATAATTTTAGTATTAAAAGTATTCTTTGGGTAGAAAAAATAGGAAACTCAAATATAGTAAAATCATTTTTTTCTGAATATTTTATTAAAGTTAGTTCAAATAGACAACATTAAGGCACTTTTGAACGTCAAATGAAAAGTTCAACTTTGTCAGTCTGTCGGTTTGTCCTCTAGTGAAGTAAAAGAACGACCAAGAAACTGCGTGGTTACTCTTTTCTCTCTCTTCTTTTTTTCATGTTATTTTATTATTTTTAAAGTCATGGAAGTATTTATGCCTTTCTAAGGAAAGTACCCAATTAGGAAAAGTGTAGGTTTCATCAATTTATTAGTAGTAGTGGAATATTTTTCATTTTCCCCAAGAGTATAAAGAAGGTAAGTAGAATAAATCAACAAAACAAAAGAAAGCAGGTTTTAAACAAGTATTAGGTACTTGTTTAAAACCTGCTTTCTTCTTGGATATAGACGACTGCGAATTTTAAGCAAATTTCGACCTTCTCAACTTAGCAATACTGTATATGTTCGCATGTGTGTTAGTTGTAAGACATTTTTACCAATTTATAAAACGCGATACTTTTTTTCTAAACTCTATCAAAATAGTTCGAGAATTAATGTTGAGTTTTTCTAATTTCGTACCATTTTCTACAGCAACAAAGCTGTCAAATACCTCTAATAGATTTTCGACGTTATAATCTCGTAATAAAGTTGAATTTTATTAAAGTTTTTTGACAGTACAGTTGAGTGAACGTATCACAGAATTAGAACGATTAATGTTGATTCTCTTGTTTCTATAAAAATCCTTAAATACTCAATTTAAATAATTCTTGTACTTAAAATATATTTTTGAATTAATTTATTGTGATAAGAAACAACTCGTCCAAAGAAATTTTTATTTGTAAACTGATTAGTTTTATTTAATTACTATAACATAATTACTGGAGGGCGTTGTTCAAGCTTCGCGTCCGGCGAGTCTGTTAGTGGCGAAGCGGCCAGTAATTTTACTATAGTAATAAAAATAAAAATTATTCGTGTAGAAAAAAGTTTCTATAGGAAAGTTGTTTGTTATCATGAGTACAATCACAAATATGAAACAAAATATTTGAAGGCACCGGGGGGTTGGTACAAACATCAACATCACGATTATCGTCTTCACAGTCCATCGTAGGGCGTAGGATTTTATTATCAGACCGAATAAATTACAAAAATAACGGATGTGGCGATCCGTCTCTTAAGACAGTCACAGCGCTCGCTCTCCGCCATAATGCGCACGCAGAATTGTCAGTTTGACGTTCCCCCAGAGAACGATTTATGGTACTCTCGTCCGATGAATTGTGATAAAACCTCCTTCAAAAATCAATTTAAATCGTCGCTCCGACATATTTAATTGCTTTTCCTGACAAAACAACTTTGTGTCGTTGTTCGAGAGTTACGTCGGTGTGTACGTTTCCCTCCATTATATTGCTAAATCATTAATAAAATACTCGTTTAATTAACAACCCAAAAACATGGTTATGTGGATAATAAATTAACGCATTGTATTACTCGTCTACTTATCGCATTTTAACACCCGGTTTCTGAAAGGCTTGTCAACGCTAAAATTAACTAATCTCCTGTTAAATCTCTTGTCATGTGATTGGTTGTTGATAATTCAGTCAACCAGTCAGATGACTTGACAAGAGATTAAATTGATTTTAACATTCATCGGCCTTTCGGAAACCGGGTGTAAGTGTTTAAAATTAATTGCGTTGTGCAAAAAAGTGATTTTGATACTTATTTTTGTATTTTTTCGGTTTTCTTACGAATGTATCAATTGTAGCTAAAATAGTCAGCTATTATACAATGTCGGTTTTTATTAATACACATTTTTTTGTCATAATATCCAGTCGACCCATTTTAAATTTGTAAAAAAATTTTTACTAATCGAGACGGATCTTGATCAAAAAACTAAATTACCCATCTACTAGCCGTGCTACGATTAGATTAGTCCAAAATATAAATACTTAAAAATATGTTAGTCCTGATTTTAATGTGCAAAGGTTGTTGCACATTAAAATCAGGACTAACTAACTAACTAAGGTTGTGTATTAAGATTTTAGACAGGCAACAGAAATAAACCACTATCCTTACTAATAAAAAATTACACACATCTTATAACAGAGGTATAGCAGACTCATTACTAATAATCAATTTTTGACATTTCCCGCGTATACAGCTGTTATAACCATTGTCAAAATTGTATGAAACGTTAGACAAGACTTATTCAGCCCGTGGACCTAGTATAACGTGTGAATAAGCGATCATTTTCGTATTTTAACTGTCAGACTCATAAAATTGATTTTACATTATTTTGCTAAAATGTGTTTAGTGATTGTGAAATCCGAACAATCAACAAAAAAGAAAGAAAATTAATTTCGCAATGATCGTAACGATGATATTTTCATTTGAAGGTGCAGAGTTTATAAAGAAAATATAAATTTTCAAAGAAACATAATATGGAATTTATTGATCTGCTATCTCATGATATAGGTACAGCATAGGACTAAGGGTCCCCCAGCAGAAATCCATGCCTGCATGGCTTTAGAGCCCTGCCTTTACAAGACAAAAGATCAAGCCGATGCAGCTGATATTCATGGAACGAGTCAGTAATCTATTACAAATGGGTGTCGCAGAGTATCTATCGTATTGGCAAGTCGTGTCGCAAATCGCAGAATTTGTTACTTTAGAAATGTGATTGCTTGAATAAGGCATATTTAATGAAATCAAACATCCAGTGTCAGTATTTTTATTTTTGTCGGTACAACCAGGTTGTTATTCCTAAAAAGGCAAAACAACAATCGCATTACTATTTCCAAATAAACATAATCTTTTCTATTTTTACTAGAACATATTTATATTCATTCAATTGTAAGTTTGTAATCGCCAACCCGCATTGAGCAAGCGTAGTGATTAATGCTCAAACCTTCTCAGTATTAAAAGAGGCCTTTGCTCAGCAGTGAGCACTTATAGGCTGATGATGATGATGATATTTATATTCACAACATCAAGCATCAAGCCTCATCAAGCATAGGATAAAAATTAATACGTGGCATAGAAGTGTGACGAAATATCTGTAATAGATACAGATACGTATTACGAATACAATATTTGTAATACTTATTTATTTGTTCGTTCATTGATATATTAGGATAAACTAATTTAATTTCACATGTCTACTGGTCAGAACCAGCTGATTGGCAGTTGACTAACCAGAAGATGGAGTATGATGGCGATATAAACCGAAATTTTGAAGGAGATTGTGAAGTTTTAAAATTGTTTGACGTGGAGATAATGTATCTTAATACTTATAACATTATTTCACATCAATTATAGGTAAAGGAATATAAGATCAGCTGCCCTAATATTGGCTTGATATTCAGTAATAGGTATAACACCTATTATTAAAAGCTGTTACGAATATTTTCAGTACCTAATTGGGTTATCGAAGTATAATTCTAATGCCACGACTCTAATTTGTGTCAAAAATGTATTTGACATTGATTAGGTACATTCGAAATATCAACATTTTTATCAAAAATGTTTCGCAAAGAATTGATAAATTAATATTTTAAAACTAAATTAAAAACCTAAAACCTTCTTTTTGTTTTACAAAATCAAGTATTTTATTGATTATTATAATTAAATAATTATAATAATACAAGAATATTGTCAAGAAGTGTTTCTGTTCGGAAGTTTCGGAACGCTTTCATCAATGTTGCTAGCAATCGGCAGTATAAGGAATAAATAGTTATTCAAGGTATACGCATTGTTTATTGGTAATGACTTGTATAAAGTATTACTAACTCGCTATTCAATGAATAGCTATCAAAGTGTTAAACAAGTGTGTAACCGAACTTTATTAGTAAGACCGTATAAATTTTTGTACTACCATCATTATTACCACATCTCTTTTCGTGAAATATTTTTTATACGTATCATTTTTTATAATTGATCTACTATCTTATATGCTCATCGTTTCTCTTATTTATATTATAGTAACAACAATAAAATTACTCCAAAAATAAACTAATAAAAACCTCTAACAGAACACTTCTAAAAACCACTGACATAACAGAAAAATGTGACGAATTTATTTCGTTGAGTGACCCAATCTTATGAGCAATGCACGCCCGCACCGTCCAGAAGATTACCCTATTGTAAGAAGACATAGAATGGCCGAAGATAATTAGATGTGCTCGTTTGTTGTAGGAATGGACGAGGACGGGCCCAAACGCAGGAAAAGGAAAAAGAATTCCGAGGAAAGTGCTACCCCAGAGCGCGTAGAACACAGAGTCAACCTAACCGCCATACTACAATACTCCAACGCTAGCCCATTCCGCGACAAAACCATCCGCGGTTTCTCCTGCCTTTACTGCTCTAAGCCCTTCCCCGACATACAGAAACTCCGCGAACACACAGCCCAGCAATCAGAAAAAGACAAAATCAACACAATAATCGACTATAAACTCAGTTACAACCCCATCAAAGTCGATATTACAAACCTCCATTGCACCGTCTGCAACCTAGAAATGAAAGACCTCAACGATTTGAAGGATCACCTAGTTGGTGTACATAATAAAACTATTTACAAAAATATTAAAGATATTATACTCCCATTCCGTTTAGAAGATGGCCATAATTTTACGTGTGTTATATGTTCCGTCGTACACATATCATTTAAAAATCTATATCATCACATGAGCAGCCATTATAGGAATTACTGTTGCAAAAAATGCGGGGAAGGTTACATTACAATAGCAGCGTTAAGAAAACACGGAAAGACACACGCTCAAGGCATATTCCCCTGCGATTTCTGCGATAAATCCTACACGTCGATGACGAAGAAACGGAACCATGAGAAGGGCGTCCACACGGGCGGTTGGCTCCGAAACAAATGTCCGCATTGTCCAGAAGTTTTCGTCAGTTACTACGACAGGAGCGAGCATTTGGTCAAGGCTCACAATCAAACGCCTATCATATATCCCTGTAATGCATGCAATAAGATTTATAAGAAGAAATTTGAATTAAACAGGCATATAAAGCATCATCACTTGCAACAGAGGAGTTATCTCTGTGATAAATGTAATGCTAAGTTCTTTTCTAAGAGAGGTCTTTCGGATCACTTATCAAGGCACGTGGGAGGTGTGGTATTCTCCTGTGATGTATGCGGTAAGTCGTTTTCAAGGGCCCGTACGTTAAAGGAACATATAAAAATACACGAAGACGACAAACGGTTCCAATGCGAGATATGCCACAAGACGTTTATGCAGAAGTGTAGCTTGAAAAGTCATGTGAGGTTGCATCAAGATGACTTGGACATATTTAAGGAGTTCGATGATGTGAAGCATCTAATAGACAATAGGGAGCTTACGTTGAAGCAAATAGCCGCTGAGAGTAAAATAAAGGCTCAAGCGGAGAAAGCGAAAGAAGAAAGAGAATTTGAATAGTATTTATTTAGTTAACGGTGACCTTGAGACCGCCACATCGCAAATAAGACTTACTCTTAGCGCCAAACTACAAAAAAGACCGTCATTTTATTTAAAATTAAAAGAAAACAGTTAATTTTTTTAAATTTAGTAATTTCTGTGGTACACAATGATGACTATCTCTCTTTTTGCGCTGAACAGATGGCGCTGGTGTAGCATTAGATCCAGTTTCACCAATAATTGCCATTTGTCCGAAAGTTTGTCGCAAGCATATTGTCTGTTGGGCAACATACCTCATTATAAGCGCTAGCTGTGGTGAATCCATACCTGAATGGCTCTATTAATAAATAAATAAAAGTAGCGAAATATAGTACACCGCGCATGATTCGCCCACAAGTTTGACACCGTTGGATGCGGGTCGCTTTTAAAAGACCATTCTGTAAGTTGTTAAGTCATAGCGTTGTGTCTCATACATACACATCATCGGCCTATAAGTGCCTACTGCTGAACAAAGGCCTCTTCTCACAAGGAGAAGGTTTGAGCATTAATCATCACGCTTGGACAAGGCGGATAGGCGATTTCAAACTTATAATTAGAAATTATAAGTCCAGGTTTCCTAACGATATTTTCCTTCACCGTGTATCAATGGTGTCTAAATAATCATAGAAATTACATATAACTCGGTAAAAGTCACATTGGTACTTGTCAGGTTTCGAATGCATGAGAAGCGGGCACCTTAACCTTTGAGCCACCACGATAAGTCTCATATTTATCAATTTTTGGTATGCTGATGATAACATTTTTAATTGGTTGTATTGTAAGCGTTGGATTAAGGTCAGTGATGAGGTTTGTTCATCATCTGTGAACGTCTTTGTCAAAAATATCGTTTATACGTGACTGTGGCGGTCGAAAGGTGACAGTTTTTTTTTGTAATAAAGACTCCTTAAGTTCTGACATTGTGTTGTATAAAAAAATTGTGAGTGCATATTTTCTAGAACAATTGTCTACGAATTGTGTAAGAGAATGGTTATAAATAATAGATGCATGTATATGGTGTTTGAAGGTTTAAAAAAAATATTCTGGGTGTGAAAGTTTTTGTTATTGTAGACTTTACGTTACTTTGGGATGGGTTAAGTCGTTGATTTAGATGTTGTTAATAAATACGAAAGGTTTCGGGCTCGATTCGTAGGTAAATTTTGATAATTAAATTTATAATTAAGTATAACGGAGAAAAAATTAAAGAGTAATCAAAAATATATTGTAAACGTCAACAAATATAGTATTTGTATTGTGATTAATTTACTACTTTATCGATTACTTTCACATCACAGAAGGCGCTTATTTTTTCAAACACCCTGTATATGATCCAAACATTTTTGTTCTAATATTTATTTAACAGTGTCTGATTAGTTATTTCTAACTTAATTGACACTTTTTCTACGGACAATACGTCAGACAAAGAAATAATTTACTATAGATTGTGAATTTTTACCGGTCTTAAATCCACACACCCTGTATCATGTGAAGTAATGAAAGGCATATAAAGACAAATGCATTATATTTTTAGTTGTTAATAAATATTATATTATATTATGTATAACTAATCATATATCTGTGGTTTTATTTTTAAATTTGTACTCCATTCTCTATAATCTCGCACCTAACCATAAATGACCACTTCTAAGCAAAAATCTCTTCTCTTCTTCTGCTGATAAAACGTAGCCTATGTTCTATTCCGGAGTGTATCCAATACCTATGCCAATAAATTAAATTTCAAAATGATAAATTTCATCCAGATCTGTCTAGCCGTTTTGGCGTGATCGAGTAACAAACATCGTAACTTTCGCATTTATAATATTAGTAAGATAATTATAAAGCTTGCTCAAGGCAGATTGTCGATTTAAAACATATGGTTAGAGATTATATGTACCGGCTTTCTCAACGTCGCGTCAGCCAGATGGGCAGGCGCAATAAGGTACCGTTGCCTCGGCCCGGAGCAGAACGAGGAACGGAGAGGGTATCAGTCAGTAAGAGTCTGACACTTCGTCTTGCTCGAGGCGAGAGAAGTGATTTGATGATTTTCCCTATAAAAATAAATACCTATTACTACTACTACTACGTGCGGTTTTATCCACGTTGATGATGGGAGATACACACACACACACACAGATGGAGTTTCTTGCTCGTTCTTCTCCATTCGTAACTACAGTTTGGAACGAGCACCTAGCTTCACTGACGAACAGACTGACAGACTACTATTCTATTTTGACGTTTCAAAAGTACCTATTTATGGTTTAGTTGGAATAAATGATTTTGATTGACTTGATTTGAATTAAGATGATGCAATGTTATTTTATTCACAAAATTTTAATATAAATTGATTGAGTTCTTTTAAATCCAATGTCATCTTACTGCCCATTCTCGTTCGCTGTGCCTCTATCTTACAGCTGTTTGAATTAGATTTATTAATAAGACGAAATGAAAACGCGTGTGAAAGAATTATTTTTCTTTTATAGGCGTTACCGGAGCAACAAAAAATCTACGCAAACGTGCTGTTAAGGAAGAGGCCGACGATGAGGCATTAAGTCAGTTAGTGTACCGCGAAAAACATGTGCCCGAAATGAAGAAACAATGGCATAATCTTACTACCTTACTCATGTGCTCCAACGCAACCCCTTTCAAAGATAGGAATGATGCAGGATTCATCTGCGCATACTGCTTCAAAACATACCCCACTCCCGAAATACTCAGAGCTCACACACACGCCGACCATGATAAAGAAAAGTCATCCTACAAAGCAGGCTCCTGCAAAGCCAGTTTTGTCGCCTTCCTAGATATAGTCGATCTCAAATGCACACTATGCGATCAGCCAATGGATTCCTTACAAACTTTAACCGAACATCTAGTCTCAATACACGAGAAAAAGTACTATTTAGGCATCACAGACTATTTTCAACCGTTCAAATTGACGAATGAACAGCAAATCAACTGTTGTCTCTGCGACGAAGTGTTCCATAATATGAAACTGCTGATGCAACATATGAATGTCCATTATAGAAACTTTATATGCACTACTTGTGGCGCTGGCTTCGTAAATTCGTTCCGTTTGAATCGCCATGAAACTACACATTTGAAGAAAAAGGCTAGCTTCCCATGCCGACATTGTGACCAAGTTTTCGCAGCCGAATCGAAGAAAAAAGCTCACGTGAACACCGAACACAAAGGCATAGCTGGCGACAGCGTTTGTCAAATATGCAAGGCTCGGTTCAAAAATTATTATCAAAAAACCAGACATATGATGCAAGTCCACAATGTAGAAGGGATCAAATGCGATCAGTGCGAGAAAAAGTTTAATCTTAAGTCAAATTTGATGCTTCACATGAGAAGCGTGCATCTTAAAGAAAGGCCTTATGAATGCTCTGTATGCAGTATGGGGTTCTTTATAAAAAGACATATGTTGGGACATTATATGGCTACTCATACGAATGAGAGGAAGTTCAAATGCGAGGTTTGTGGCAAGGCGTATGCTACACAGAACAGTAAAAGGAAACATATGAAGAAGAACCATGGGATATCTAAGAATATGGTGGTCGCTAATATTGAGAAGTAATTTTAATGTTAAACCATATGGTTATATGGGAATATGGACTTCTTACTTATCTTAATGTTGGACTAGATTAGGTCTTGCATGTTTTTGAGAAAAAAGACCACTAATGAAAGCAGTTTATCAGCGATTAAAAACAGACTCGATTTCCGCAAACAGCTCTTTCTGTGATCCAAGAATTGTTCCGAATTTGGGTGTGATATGTATGCCATCCACGACATAGGAGAAAATCCCAGTTCATGGCAACGTCTTTTTAAAGGAAAAAAAATCATGTACTTGTAAATCAATTAGGCTTATCGTCGACCCGTTTAGAAGCTGAATGCTTGTTCCAAGGCATAGATTTGTATAAAAACAAGTAACTGGAAATCTGGAAAGCCATAGGTATAAAATTTGCTCAAATTAAAATAGCAGTTGTAACGTCATCTTTGTTTTCATTAAAAATCATCTTATGTAGCACGAATCCTGGTACTGGTTGGGCGGCGAGACCTCCAAGAATTGTACCCAAAATGTCTTCAGTCTTTTAAATATTTTAATATTACTTATGTAAAAGTAATGCTTACAGTATTGTATTTAATAGATTTTAACGGTGATACATGTATGTAATTGTGATTTATGTATGTTAGGATTAATTTAAGTATATTTATTTGAATCTCTCTTTGTGTTTTTATTCCACCTTCAATTTTAGTCCTATCTTGAAAATAGCGGTGTTAAACATTTTCTGGGTGATGTTCCTACCCTCTTTAGTAGATACCGTAAGTCATATTTAAAAATAAAGACTTACTAACATGATCAGTCGGTTGTGGGACGTCGCCACAGCGCATAATTATGGACCCCGTTCGTGGGTCGAAACCAGACGATACAGTTAGAATGGCTTTTTCTAAAAACTTTGTACTTACGCAGGTCCAGATTTTTCATGGCTTATTATGAACATTATTCTAACTATCTATATTTTGTATAATGTTGACATGTAAAATCAATATTTTATGCCCTGTTTAATTTATTACAATTTAACCAACAAGGCGCATTTGAAAGTAAAAATCTACAATATTAGCATAATAGTATGTTTATCGGTCTATCCCAGGGAGAGGCTATCGGCTGGTTCAAAACGATACACGCATTTTTAAAATGACACACATTCTCAGAAAATATTTATCCCTTCTACATAGAAATACAACATAGTATTTTCTTTGTAGGTAGACGAAGTAACGCAACCGAATTAGCAACACTAATACTTATCAGAACAATGGAACAACAGGTAAATACGGATACAGAAACGAAACAGAACAAAACTCCTGTTTCTTTGAGAAAGAACCAAAAGCGATGTCAAGTAGAGCTATTCAAACAGCGATATAATGTACGAGAGATATTGTTAAGCAGTAATGCTACACCCATACGTAAGTACAATGTCGGATTCGTCTGTTGTTTTTGTGATAAGAAATTTCTAGAAGCCAATGACTTAAAGATACATACCATCGCTAATCATGATGAAAGCGAAAAAATAGATTTCATGAAGGGCCATGGCCTTCAAGCTT